TATTTCTATTTATGCTTGCGATCATATTAATTGTACTATCATTTGCCCTTTTTTTTTAATCAAGTTAATGTCCATTATATTTTGTTAATGTCCATTATATTTTTTTAATCGACCAATGGTATTCATAGTATTTTTAATGACTCGTAAAATATCAACCTCTATTGAATTTAAAAAAAAAAAGAAAAAAGAAAAGAACGCAAAAAATTTAGACCATTTTAGGAACTTGAGAGTTGATGCAAGATGTAATATGCTATCAAGTTCATTATTTGCATATTTCTTTCATACAGGGGTGTAGCCAGAAATATTTTTTACCCTGGGCTGCTAGAACCGATTTGTTAGGGAGTATAACTCAGTTCAACTCGTAAAAAAACAATCGTGATTCATTCATATAATAAAACATAAAATGAAAACTTAGTCCAAACGAGCGGAGCTTAATTGATTACACTCAATTTATTAAAAGTTTCGAGCCAAACATGTTCATTTATTAGACGAATACAAGTTCGAACACGATGTACTCGACTCAATTTGGCTCCAATGATATTTCGCTTAAATTGTGGAATTCCAAATGTCGTTTCATTGGTCTGCTATGCAAATTAATGATTTTAAATTATCTATTTCGCATATTCCAATATAATTTATTTAAAAGTTAACAAGTTGATGTATTTCACATATAAACTAATATAAATAATATAAATTAATCGTGTATTAAATCAAATATTAAAAAATAAAAAAAAAAAGAAGAAAAAATGACAAAGTAAGCTATAACCACATAAAAATACATATGAAAAGTTTGAGTCATGTCCAAAAATATATATAATATTTTGGTTTAATATCAATTATTTTAAATGAATACGGACTAAATAATTATATCATGAATTAAATTAATAAAACATGGGTTAAAATATTTTTTTTTACTACTACATATTTATATTAGACAAAAAAATTAAGACTGGGCTGGAGTCCGGGTGAGCCACCCCCTGGCTCCGCTCCTGCTTTCATATTAGCATTTTCATTGGTTCTAACTTTAAAAAATACTAGTACGTCACCCGCGCGTTGCGCGGCCTGATGTTAAAAATTATGTAGATGAATTATAATTTAAATAAATATTATCTTTCATAAAATATATATAGAGAAATAAAAATCATTATGAAAAATCGATCCATTATATTTTAAAAATGTTTAGCTAAATACAACATTTTAGTGGATGAATTGTATTAATTATTACCATTATCCTCATAAATAATAATCATGAGACAACAAAGATTATGACTATAGAAACAACAACATATAATTGATTGTTTCTATAAACTAACATATGTTTTTTACTATAAATATTTTCAAATGAAATAAATTTAACTTAAAAAACATATTTGTGATAGTCAATGATAATTAGTATTTGTCACATTGATGACACTCTTTGAAGAAAACAAAAATGTCTTGATAATAATATAATTTTCTTCATTTGTGATTAACGAAATACATTATTACTATTATATAGATAAGCATATATAGAATAATTGAAATAACATGTAAAAATAT